GTTACTAATCTGTGAATCACCATTCAGTCTATACTCAATCCATAACTATGCCTCTTTTCTCCTCAGTACTCTTGTTTAAAGAAAAATAAAGAGTTGATAATGACAGCAAACCATCACTGCACTTACTATCCAAATTAACTTTATATACCTTTATATACTTTATATACCTTTATTTAAACCTCACAACATCCTATGAAATAAATATAAATACTTCTATTTTTACGAGACTCTTAAAACCTAAACAACTTGCCCAAAGTCCCTGTGGTGGAGCTGACATTTGAACCCAGATCTAAACTGTACCAGGGTACAAGCTATATTATATTATCTTCCTGGTAGAAGGATTTCTGCATATTCCTTCTAAATCACTCAGTTTTTAATCATCTAGCCACCTCAAAACCTACAGCCTTTTAAGTTCTTTTTCAGGTAATTCCCAAAATGTGGATTCAATAGCTCCATAAACATTTTTTGACCATTTGATAAATACCAGACACTACAATAGGTGAATAAACTTGATTTCTGCTCTGAAGGATCAAGGAATGAGTTTATGTGTAGGATGGGAACATTTGGAGAAGCAAAATAAGTACAGATGTGCAATCTCTTATCCACAATCACAAAACCTCAAAATCCCGAAAACTGACAATTATTTTGTAAATTGTAGCATTTTGGTGTCAACATCCTATCTGAATTGGCATTAAGCTACTTATAATCTTCAGTGATCCCACTCAGTGTGACTAATTCATACATTTCATTTTAGATGTATCGATGTGTTTGGTTACTCAGTGTTATCCCACATAATGTGTACTATATTGCCTTTCTAATATTCAAAAGAAAATAATAATTTTTGAAACACATTGTGTCCCAGGAGTTTTGGGTAAGAGAGTGTCAAAAAGGTACTATTTGGATCTGATTGTTGAATACAAATCTGCCAGGAAGCCAAATGGAGGAAGATAAATGCAGTGGAACTACATGCAACAGCCTGAACAAAATCATGAGAGAGTAATGAGTGGTCAGGGGAAGGAGTACAGGTAGGAAAGTGACAGAAGAATAAAGCTGACGAGTTCCCAGGGGTCAAATCACAAAGGTGCTGTGGAATGCCTTACAAAGTTTGGATTTGTCCCAGATGGCTAAGAGGTGATATAGAAGAATGTTAGGCTAAGAGAGGTAAGGTGACCATACGTCTCAGTTGCCAGGACATGACTCGGTTTCCTCCTGCTACCCAAGCATTATTGGTAACACAATTTTTCACTTTCACAAGTAATTTAGTTTGGCTGAAATAGTTTATGGGCCCCTAAATGGTAGAACCAGATACTGATTTTAGAAAGAAAATTGTCAGTAGTAGGGAAAATGGAATTAGGGTCAGAGATTTCCACAGGACTTCTTCCTAAAATGAGAATAACCTCATGAATGCCAAAACCTAGCATGTAGGAAAAATGGCATAAAAGAATGTCATCACATTTTTGTGGGTGAGTAAAAGTTTTCTAATGCCTATAAGTAAGAAGGGAGGCATTTTCAGTTATGGACTGAAAACGAACTCCATCCTTTCTTCTACCTCACATTGTCCTGCGGTTTCCTTATATCTTGGCTTTTGGCTCCAGCTGAGTTGAAGAAGTTAACTGCGTTAAAATACCCAGAAAAATATAACGTAAGTGGAGCTGAAAATACATAAATATTATGAATCCATAATTGTAGTATTTATGCCTCCATTTAAAATAATTAGGAAGCAAGGGGCACCTGGGTGGCTCAGTCGGTTAAGCATCTGACTGGCTCAGGTAATGATCAGTTCATGGGTTTGGGCTCCATGTCATCAGGCTCTGTGCTGACAGCTCAGAGCCCGGACCCTGCTTTGGATTCTGTGTCTCCCTCTCTCCTTCTGCCCTTCCCCCACTTGTGCACATGCACATGTTTTCTCTCTCTCTCTCAAAAATAAACATTAAAAAAAAGTAGGAAGTATATTGATGTGTTTTTCTTTTTTTCCTCAAGTTACGGGGCTAATGAACAAATTAATAAGTAAATTACAATATAAAATATGATCACACATTCTTCACCAATTGAATATAAATGGGAAATATATTTAATGGTTGCTTTAATAAGCAAGTAGAAAATGAAGGAAAATATTAATATCTATGTATCACAGTATGTCAAATTAATTTTTATCTTATAATTAGGTAGCATTAAAAATTTGGAATTATTTCAATTTCTGAATAGATTTCCATTAGCTACAAATTGGGAGTTTCAACAGAACCATTTTATCTTACTAATCAGGAAAATGTAAATTAAAACAAGGTATCATTTTCCCATCATATCAGTGAAAATTAAAGTATAACAGCTTTTCTCTGAGATTACAGGAACTAGTATACTCTTAGGATGTTTTTTTTTTTTTAATTTTTTTTCAACGTTTATTTATTTTGGGGACAGAGAGAGACAGAGCATGAACGGGCGAGGGGCAGAGAGAGAGGGAGACACAGAATCGGAAACAGGCTCCAGGCTCTGAGCCATCAGCCCAGAGCCCGACGCGGGGCTTGAACTCACGGACCGCGAGATCATGACCTGGCTGAAGTCGGACGCTTAACCGACTGCACCACCCAGGCGCCCCTGGATGTTTTTGTTATAGACACTCTGGGATTCTTTTGGAAATAGCTAATAAAATTAAATATGTGCATAACCTATGACCTTGCAATTCTATTTCTAGACATTTACCTTAGAGAAACACTCACAAATATGTACAAGAAGAAAGGGCAAAGGTGCTCATTATAGCTATGTGGTAATAGCAAAACACTGGGTATAATCTATCCCATAACATCCATCATGGGGAAGTATTATGGAACGCTATGTGAGATGAAGTTAGACCCCAAGGATCATTGAATTAAAAAGTAAAGCAAATTGAAGAAATAAATATGCAGTAAGCCATTTAAGGTTTTTTAAAAAAGTTTTGTATGGGTTTTTAAGAAGTGTCTTTATTAGTGCTTGGGCTGGACAGATACACCCCAAACTGGGATCAGTGGTTGCTTCTAGGGAGGGGAAGGAAATCTTGAATTTCCAGTAGTGGTTAAAGGAAATTAGATTTATTCTTTATTAGTTTTTTAGGCCTTTCATAGCAAAGTACCACAGACTGGTAGGTTAAACAATAGAAACTTATTTCCTCACAGTTGTGAAAACTTGATGTCTGAGATCAAGGAAGGTATCAGGAGGGTTGATTTTTTTTTTTCCGAGGCCTCTCCCCTTGGCTTATAGGTGGCCACCTTCTCCCTGTGTTTTCACATGGTCTTTCCTCTGTGAGCACCTTTGTCCTAATCTCCTCTTCTTACAAGGACACCAGTCACACTGGAATAGTGCCTATTCATAATGACCTAATTTTGCCTTTATGACTAATTTAAAGGCCCTATCTACAAATACAGTCACATTCTTAGGCACTAGGGGGTGAGGATTTCAACATAAGAAAATGGAAAGGATTAAGGGACAGACACAATTCAGCCTATAACATATTCCTAACATTTTTATTTTAAACAAAAGAAATTGGATTCATATTTATATTGAGGCTAAGCAAAGTTGTAAAAGAAAATGACAAGATTATTTACATCTAGACAAATTTCCCTTTACAGGAAATCTGTTTAGTTTTTAAGGGTGCTGTAACACCAGATTGCCAATATTGGTTATCTTAGGAAGGTGAAAATGGAAGTAGGTACAGAACAGGTTTCTCCTGTTATTAATATTTTACATTAATATGGGTTATTTGTTGTAATTAATGAAGCAGTATTGATACACCGTTACTTAAAGTCCATACTTTATTCACATTTCCTTAGTTTTTACCTAATATCCTTTTCCTATCTCAGGACTCCATCTAGGATACCATATTACATTTGGTTGTCATTGTCTCCATAATCTCCTCTTGGCTATGATAGTTTTTCAGACTTTTTATTTGACAACCTTGGCTGGTAAGATATTTTGTAGAATGCCCTCCTACTGGAATTTGTCTTACAGATTTCTAATGATTAGTCTTGGGTTATGGGTTTGGGAAAGAAGACCACAAAGGTAGAGTGCCATTTTCATCACATCATATTAAGGGTGTGTACTATCAACATGATTCATTATTGTCAATAGTCACCTTGATCACCTGGTGAGGTCTCTCCAACTATAGTTACCCTTTTTTACCCCTTTCCATACTGTCTTCTCTGGAAGGAAGTCACTATGTGCAGTATGTGCACTATGTCCACACTTGAGGAGTGGGAGCTGTGGTTCACCTTCTTTAGAACAGAGTATCTACGTATATTGCTTGGAATTCTTCTGCACAGGAGATTTGTTTCTTTTCTCTCATTCATTTATTTACTCAATCTTACTTTTTTTTTTTTTTTACTATATTTCTTTGGATCATTTTACATAATGAGCATATATTAATTTTGTGGTTATTTTGAAATAAGGATATTTTAGAGATACTTACATCATTAATTTGGGACGTTAGAAAGTAGGAACATGCAAAGTTATCATAAAGGACCTAGGGAGGTTAAAAATATAACTACCAGTGTACCTCTTCTCTGTTAGTAACATATTATTCTTATTTAGACTACAGAAAGTGGTTTATACAAATATTTGATATGATTCCCTGCTTAGAAAGTGAGAAGTTTACATCTTTAGATAAAAGATGAAACAAACAGAAGCCTTCTTATTGTGTGCATTTTCTGAGTTTCTTAAGTTTCATAACTTCATGGCAGGTTATAAGTTGCCACCTTTCATTTTGCAAACTCTTGGACCCCTTGTACTGTTTTTTTGAAATAATGTGCATATATCATGCCTTTTCTATACACAATTGGGATTTTTCATATATCTCCTTTGAGAATTTCCAGGCTTAATTATTAATCTTTCCTCCCTAACTTAAAAGTAAATTTTGAAACTCTAAAAAAGAAATCTGTTGATAATAACCATAATGTAAATTATCTCACTGTTTCTGCTCTTTTATGTACACTATCAGTGGATTAATATTTCTTTACATTGTGATTTTTTTCCAGATATTTCGGTCAGCTTGTTAGCAGTGGTTGTCAGCTTCTGTGGCCTGGCCTTGTTGGTTGTCTCACTTTTTGTCTTCTGGAAGTTGTGCTGGCCTTGTTGGAAAAGCAAACCTGTGACTTCCAACGTCAGTACCCTTCCACAGAGCATTTCAAGTGCTCCTACTGAAGTCTTTGAGACCGAAGAGAAAAAAGAAGTTCAAGAAAATGAAAAGCCAGCTCTAAAAGCTGTTGAGCCTGCTATAAAAATCAGCCACACTTCCCCTGATATCCCAGCAGAAGTCCAAAATGCTTTAAAAGAACATTTAATTAAACATGCACGTGTGCAAAGACAAATTACTGAACCTACATCCTCATCCCGGTAAGAAAAGATCAAATATATAAAACTGTGCGTGCATGTATGTGTGTGCCTGTGTGTGTGTGTGTGTGTGTGTGTGTGTGTGTGTGACCTTGTAAGGGGAGAAAAATGGAGATGAGAAAGGACCAAAGAAAAACAGGAGAAATGAGAATGACATAAGAAACATATCATTGAATAAAGAGGAAAAGGGCAAGACAGTTAAGCATCCAACTCTTGATTTCAACTCAGGTCATAATCTCGCGGTTCATGAGTTCGAGGCCTACATCAGGCTCTGAGCTGACAACATGGAGCTTGCTTGGGATTCTCTGTCTCTCTCTCTCTCTCTCTGCCCCTCCTCTTCTCATGCTAGCTCTCTGGCTGTCTCTGGCTCTCAAAAATAAATAAATAGGGGCACCTGGGTGGTTCAGTCGGGTAAGGTCCAACTCAATTTCTGCTCAGGTCATGATCCCACAGTTCTTGAGATCAAGCCCTGAGTCGGGCTTCATGCTGACAGCACAGAGTCTGCTTGAGATTCTCTCCCTTCCTCTCTGCCTCTCCCCCATTCACTCATGCACACATGTTGTCTCTTTCAAAATGAAGAAGCATTACAAAATTAAATAAATAAATAAACCTTAAAAAAGAGGAAAAAGGTAGGACAGAGGAAGTAAGGATGAGGGAAACTGAGGACAAAGGAGCCAGACAGGGAGCAGTACCATGAAGGGGTTTTAGTAGAATTTAAGGTCTCAGTAAGATAACATAACTACTGACTATTATTTGTTAACTCTTTCCCTTGAAAGATCATTGCTTGATAGTTGCTACTTGCAGTCTCAGTGTAGTTTAAGTCAACCAATAAATATCAAGAAAACAGCTACTTGCAATGTCTGTCATGAAATCATCTGGAAGTTCACAATCAAAATTGAGTAACAGAGATTAATATGGAGTCTCCAGTTGTTTAGTAACTGCATTGTCCACATGGAACCACTGGAAAATGCTATTTGAACACACACAGGCCAAGCCATATTGGGCAGAGTGTGGTAAATGCCACAGGAGTTTTGGTGAATATCCTGAGCACACTAAAGAGTGTATACAAAAGGAGGGAAATGAGAGCCTCTTCATGGAGATATATTTTAACTCTGCTTGGAAAAATCAGTAAAAGATTGCGTGAATGAAAATAATTTGCTGTAATGTATTTCAAATTGTGTTAACTGTAAAGGAAACATAGATTCCTTTTTTTAAAATTTTTTAATGTTTATTTGTTTCTGAGAAAGAGACAGAGCATGAACAGGGAGGGGCAGAGAGAGAAGGAGACACAGAATCCCAAACGGGCTCCAGGCTCTGAGCTGTCAGCACAGAGCCCCACGCGGGGCTCGAACCCGGGAACTGCGAGATCATGACCTGAGCCGAAGTCAGATGCCCATCCAACTGAGCCACCCAGGCGTCCCAAGGAAAAACACATTCTTGTGAAGGGTCGTTTTTTTTCTATTAAGGATGGTCTTCAGTCCTTAAAATGAATGACAAAGTAGTGGTACTGGTTTTTCTCTGGTTCTCAGAAATAACAACTAGTTTTACCCGAGGGCAGAGGAAAATCAGTGGTTTGGGAAGGCAAGTGTGGTTTCCTGCTAAGTAACTGACTTCCTAATCTTCCCTTTCTACCTCTCTAAATCTAAGTAACATCTACGCTTTCTGACATGACATGCTTTTGTAGGTTTAAAAATCTGTGAAATTGAAACACTGTGCATGGATCATGTTTGCCACTAGGATTGAAAGAATATTCAGTATATCTTTTGTGAAATAGAAAAGAATTATATCAGAGTCGCCTGGGTGGCTCCGTCCATTAAGTGTCTGACTTTGGCTCAGGTCATGATCTCACACTCCGTGGGTCTGAGCCCTGCATCGGGCTCTATGCTTACAGCTCAGAGCCTGGAGCCTGCTTCGGATTCTGTGTCTCCCTCGCTCTCTGTCCCTCCCCTGCTCGTGCTCTGTCTCTCTCTGTCTCAAAAATAAATAAAAGCATTAAAACAATTTTTTTAAAAAGAAAAGAAGAGAATTGTATCAATAAATAAATCCACCTCTTTCTGAAATACATTCCAGACAAACAAGTAAGAATAACTGTTACTTTGGGGATAAGGAACTTTGGAATAAGGAGGATGGATGGAGGTATCTTTTCCACGTTATGCTTTTCTGTGCTCTTTAAAATTTATAACCAATGTATGTCTCATAGTTAGTTTTTCTGAGCAGTGGCATTTAGGGTCATTTTTAATTTTTATGATTTCTATGTAATATGAATATATGTTAACTTAAACTTATCTATTATGGTTATTTAACTGAAATAATTATCCCCTATGCCACTTTTAAAAACATTTATAAGAGGGGCACCTGGGTGGCTCAGTGAGTTAAGCATCCGACTTTGGCTCAGGTCATGATCTCACGGTTTGTGAATTCAAGCCCCACATCAGGCTCTGTGCTGACAGCTCGGAGCCTGGTACCTGCTTCAGATTCTATGTCTCCCCCTCTCTCTGCCCCTCCCATGCTCATGCTCTATCTGTATCTCTCAATAATAAATACATGTTAAGAAAAATTAAAAATAAAAAATATTTTTAAGAAAAACTGCTTTGGGGCGCCTGGGTGGCGCAGTCGGTTAAGCGTCCGACTTCAGCCAGGTCACGATCTCGCGCTCCGTGAGTTCGAGCCCCGGGTCAGGCTCTGGGCTGATGGCTCAGAGCCTGGAGCCTGTTTCCGATTCTGTGTCTCCCTCTCTCTCTGCCCCTCCCCCGTTCATGCTCTGTCTCTCTCTGTCCCAAAAATAAATAAACGTTGGAAAAAAAAAAAAAAAGAAAAACTGCTTTAAAACTATCTGATTACTTGATTATCATTACTCTTATCACTGGCAACAGTGGCCAAATACAGTATTTAGTAAAGCCTTAAAGACACTCAGAAGTTTTAGAGTAAACATGTTCAATTAATTTACAAAACATTTTTATTTATTTTTTATAAAACATATTTTAAATATTGACAGCAGTATGTACGTCAATCAGCTTAGCACTCAGAATCATTAAGCTCTTTTAGTTGATAAGTGCACTTTGTCCCCCAATCTTAAAAAAACATAAAGATTAAATTATACATATCTTGTATTTTCTAAGAGAAAAAGTAGAATACAAATTCATAGTTTTGCTAGAACTGTGATATTTCATCTACCTCTTTGAATTTCCTTGTTTATATGAGTGGCTGGGAAGGAAGAAAGATTTATTTTTGAGCACTTGCAATTTGGTTACTATGCCAGGCACCCTTCCTGCTAATCCTGCCGACCTGCATGAAGTAAGTGTTATTAATTATTCCCATTACTTGTGAGTTAACTCAAGGCCCAGGGAAATTTACAATTTTGCCTAAATTCATGCAGCTGGTGAAAGTTAGAATTCAAATTTATCCAGATCGATGGTTTCACATTTTAAGCATTAAAGCCAAGGGGATATATAGTTTTTTACAATCAAAGATGTTGGTTACAGTCTGCTGAGGACAGAGAGTTTGGAGGTTGAAGAATGAGGGCATCTTTCTGCTCATTCTACTCAGAAATCTAAGATTGTACGTGGTTATTGTGAATGACTACAGTCACGATTTTAATCGCTTTGGCCTTGAGATGAATTCCTTGCATAAAACTTGATTATACTTAGTTCTCAAAACCCCTCATCTACATTAATTCCTTCATCATACTAGAAATTACCTTTATATGGAAGGAGGAGGAAATTGCTGAGTTCATTATGCAGCCCACTTGGACACAGATTGAGGGCACATTATCATAAATCAGATTATTCTGCTCAAATCTTAACTTTTCACTGAAATGTAGCAAAATCAAACCACACACATACACACACATGCACATGCACACAATGAATTGGTTTTGTCACCTTATTAGGCTATGCCAGTTCCAGTCTGCCATTGGGACTCCCTTTTACTCGGCTCAGACAGTAGCTGACAAACATCTTACCCTTTCAAGTCTTATTTGTCTCTATAACTTAATAACATTTTGATTGGTTCAGAAATTAACAGCATTGCTGGAAACTGGAACATTTTCCAAGTTCTTATCCTCCTTTTTAAGTGCCTAGACACTTGGCCACATCAGCTTGCCAGCAGCCAAATGACTCAGGAGGCATCTCTGTATTTCTTAGTTATTAACATTATTCTAGTATGTATCTTGATTGATTGTTCATTCATTCAATAGTCTTATTCAGTAGATATTTACTAATGGGTATCATCAGTGTGTTATACACACCCTGTCCACTCTGCAAACTTAAGGGAGCAGGAAAAAAATTTACAACATAATGCAAAGATAAGACATGAAAGACCAACTTCAATATCAGGAATTACAAGTATAGACTGTGGTGGAGAATGTAGAATTCTGAGAACAGAAAAATTATTCCTAGTATGAGGCTTAGAAAAGGGCCAATAGGCAAAGGCTGAAGGAAATGAAGAATTCACATAAATGGAAATTGGGAGAAAGTTTGCATCCCAGATGGAAACATTTTATGTGAAAAGACCTAGAATTGGAAATGTTGCCAGGAAAGTGGAAGTTACTTGATCAGAAAACAGAGTTCAGTGGAGGAGTAAAAAAGAAGAGAAAGTTGGCTGGACTCAAACTATATAAGGAGGCCTTGAAACCATGGGCAGGATACTCAAGGTCTGCCCTGTCAAAAATATTTGCAGCAGAAGTGTCCCATGGATAAAGAGCTGTGTTCTAGGAAAATTAATTTGGCAACAGTTTATAGGACAGACTAAAGAAAAAGACATCTATTTGGAAACTAATATAGTAGTTCAGGCATGATAAAATCAAGAAATAGCAAACAATAACCAAAAGACAAAAACCTGAGGGAAGTTGTAAAGAAAGAATCTAAGATCCCTTATAAAAAACACTGTGACATTTTAGTCATTGTGAGTGTAGCCTATACCTTTTAAAAGCCTGCCATTCAGGGGCGCCTAGGTGGCTCAGTCGGTTGAGCGTCCGACTTTGGCTCAGGTCATGATCTTGCCAT